CTAGTTCATAGTTTTTCTCTTTTTTTATTTGTTATATACACATTTCTAAAATAAATGTATTTTTTGATTGTTCTTCGTATTTTCTGTCTTTTTTAGTACCTTATTATGCTTTTTTTGCAATACCTAGTGCCTTTTCCCGCCTTTTTCGCTATTTTGTTTTGCCTTTTTTTGCCTTTTTTGCAATACCTAGTGCCTTTTCCTGCCTTTTTCGCTATTTTATTTTGCCTTTTGCAGTCTATTTCGTTATTTTATTTTGCCTTTTTTATAGGTTTTTAGGTCCTAAAAATCCGTTCCCTGCTTAGAAGTCAGAGGGACATTGAATATATTTTAACGGCACTTGATGTAGTTTTGTCCCGCGATGTCAAAAATGGCTACAATATTTTTAAACTTGTATCAAATTGGTACGAAGAAAAAAAATTGTAGTAGTGAACTTTGGATGGAGTTTACTTTTATTTGACAGGTAGACTATGGACTATGCCCCTAAACTTCATATGGCAACCAGTGATCGGACTTCCACCACATTGTGGTAGAGCTTTTTTGAGCATCTACCACATATACCACACAAGGTCTGAAATCTACCACATATTCGCGTTTTTGAGTAGATTTATTTTTGCTCGACATAATTTTCTTAATTTTAAGAGCAAAAATTGTCCAACACTAAACACTAACAATAGGCGAAATGGGAGGAGAAAATAAACTGTAAAATAGTGTATTTTCTAAATATTCAATTTTTCGACAGGAAACGTGGTTTTATTGCGTTAAATTGCAAAATATATGATTTATAAAAAGAATTAATAGCGACAATGTTAAAAAACGACCATTTTTGTGAAAGTGTTAGCAAATTTCAGTGCATCTAAAGTTGAGAATTCTCAAAATCGGCGAATCCAAAGTAGCGGTTTCTGAACATGCCACATTTGTTCGCTACATCGTGATGTGAAAACAAGAAAAGCTGGCACATTCCGCAAGGTTGCATAAATCTTTCAAAATATGTTCGAAAAATATATTAATATGGAAGGAACTGCTTCACAATGTCAAGGGAAAAAAATTCCAAAGCTCAACGCAATTTTTAGCAACTTTATTCTTGCACTTTATTATACTAAAATTAAGTTTTTTTTTAGATTGTAATTAAAATATTCGCAATTTAGGTGAAACCTTGCAGAATTTTTTTAATTTTTGTACAAAGTTTGATCCAAAACCTGATATCTACCACATTTTTTTCCAGATTCTACCACACAAATTTTTTTTAAGTCCGATCACCGATGGCAACATTATGCCATGAATTTTAGATTTTTTTTTCGGGTTTTTGCGATTTGCAAGGTTATTTAACATTTCTCCTAAAACCGGTTTAATATAAATTTGTAGCGAATTTAATTTCCCGCAGCTTTTATATTCATGTTTAAAAAAATCATATTTCATTGTAAATAACTAGCAAAACGTGCGAAAATTTTACATTGTCGCGGTTTTCGCCATTTTTCGACAATTTCTGTTGAAAATAGCTCTTAAATGATCGCATAGCTGTCACCCATTGAAAACAGTGTGGCTTTTTGAAAAATTCAACAGGGCGTCTCAAATATGTCATTTAGATGACGTTAGTTTAGACTAACCGTAAATTAGATTTTGCTGTACAACTTTTGTACCACCGGAGGAGCCAACACTAAAAGAGATAATTCTCTACAACTAAGGCATATCAATATGCTACACATTTTCAACAGCAATTGTTGAAAACTAGAGAAAACCGAGCAAAGTAAAAATTTTTCGCCCTTTTTGCTAATTATTTACAGAAAAATATGATTTTTTTATAACAATTGTTTTTGTTATTTATGGCCTTTTAACAATTATATTCCACAATTTTATTGAGCTTAAGGCTGTTTGTTCCAGCCAAAAAAAAAAGAAAAAGGTTATAACAAATTCATAATTATTTAAGTAGCTGAGTATGTGCAACAGAGGAATGCACCGTAAAATGTTCGTATGTTTGCTTACATGCTTGCCTAACAGGTATTCATGTGTGTCATGCGTGTCTATCTGTGTAAGTATACCACCCCATAAAAGCGAAATTGGAATTATTAATAATTATTTTTTCTTGCACAGGTCAAGATCATTTGTGTGCCCGTCCACGTCGCTGGTGCAAGTATTTTTAACACTGCAACCTTTGGGTTGGCCAAGTGCAGCCTTCGCATACTTCCAGGATTCGAATTTGATCGCAGGTACAACTTTTTCCTTACCGCAAACTCAACATCAACGTAGCGCTAGTGCAGGTGCAGCCCACTCTTAACAAGGCCTTTATAATATCGCACACCGTCTTCAAAAGAGTCACAACTCAAAATAATACGTTTGTCAAAAAATGCAAAAAACTATTTCTTAGCACATGATAATCATATGGACACGGACGACTTTACCATACGTTTTTATACCCGAGCGCAGTTGTGCACAAGGGTATATTAATTTTGTTCACATAACGGTTGCTTGTAACAGCCAAAACGAATAGAGATAGATATAGACAAATGTATACATAAATGCTCAGAATGAATAGAGAAGTCGATTAAGCCATGTCTGTCTGTCCGTCCGTCTGTCCGTCCGTCCGTGTACACGATAACTCGAGCAAAAATTGAGATATCTCAACGAAATTTGGTATGTGGGTTTCTATTTATCAAAGGTAGGTTGGTATTGAAAATGGAACTGTAACCACGCCCACTTCCCATATAACGGTAATTTCCAGAAATACGAAAACTGCGATATTTTAGTAACTACTGAAGATAATTCACTCAAAATATATATTTACAATTGGGCAATTCACAAGGTGTCGTATTTGTCGTGTTTGTCGTGAAGTCATGATATTTCATGACAGTTGTAAAAATGTTGTTATTGTTTTGTGAAGAAAAATAACACATGACGATACAACTCTGCAACCTATGTTTATTCGGAGTTATGTGATCAGCTGTTGTTATTTACATTCTTCTTCTTCTTCATTTACTCGAATTTACAAAATATTTGCCGACGGAGTTGAAATGGAGTCATATGCAAAAAATCAGGTAATTATATGCATAAAAGTTGGTTGAAGTTTGGAAAAAGGAATTTTAAATGTTTATGTTGCAGAGTAAGCAAAAGCGCACGCGTTGCAACCCAATATAAAGGTGGGAGGTAAAAGAGGAAAAGGCGCTTATAGAGTTCCTTTCTGAGCATCGCGATTTCGAGGTTTGTAATTTATTTATTATGTGCTCCAAATTAATTTAATTGTATTTCTTAAAGAAACCAACTGCGCAAATATTTTACAAGCGCTTTGCAGAAGAGAAGAAAGTTCCAGTGGAGTGGAAAATTGCGCGCACCAAAGTCAGAAACATGTGATTGAACTACAATAAGGCAAAAGCTTGGGAAAGTTCCACAGGCGCAGGGAGTATGGAAGGTGAAACAATAAGAAGTAAGTTTTTTTTTTTTAAACTTCAATCCTTTTTTACTTCAGCCTCTTCAATCTCTGTTCCAGGCACGCTACTCAAAATGTTTGTCTATTTTTATGAATTCGATGAAATTTTCGGCAGCCGCCTTGATGAGTGCGCAATTGTCGATGACAGTTTTCAAATTGTCGATATTGAAAATCTAATCGAAGTTGATGGCGATTACGCCACTGAGACTCCAAGTTCGATGCCGGCTGAAAGCGCAGATGTAGTAGAGAGCCCAAATCAATATCAATATGCGGCCACTTCTAGCCGAAAAGGAATATATTCCAGGACAGCTCTTTCTGACCTCATGCAGGTAAATGAGGAAATTATAAAACTAAGAAAACAGAAGTTGGAACAAGAGAACGATGTTAAGAATAAAGAATTAATTTTAAAAGAGAGAGATCTAGAGTTGAAAGCAAAAGAAATAGAACTAAGGGAAAAAGAAATGGAAAACCGATTTAAGTTGCAAAAACTTGAAATGGAAATGAAAGAGAGGCTAGCCATAGAAGAAATGAAGCTTAAATATAAATAAGTATATGTACATTAGCCTGGGTCAATTTTTTTTTTTTTGTTTTTTTTTCCTAGCCTTAAAGAAGTTAAAGGTTTTACTCCGTCACATTCTTTCTATACAGGCGTTCAAAGAAGTCAAATGCGTTTTTTTATGTACCTTAACATATACAATTAGTCCTAAGTTCCTCTTTGCAATGAGATAAAATACATATTTTTGTGTTCATTATTACTAATTATAGTAAAAATATCGATGTACCTTAAAATGAATTAAAGACTTAATTTTAAAACGTTAGCTTTTTATTAGCAAATACATAAAAATTAAAATAGTACATTGCATAGTTTGATTTTGTATGTGGATAAGCAATCTCTCTCTGGTGTTGCTTCCTGAAGGTAAGATGTACTGGGGTAGTCTTTCATTGGCATTTTCATTTCCGGACTGAAAATGTATTAGTATGTTGTGAAGAATGCAGCATACCATTATCCAATCATTACATTCCTGCTTGTTTTGCCTCGTATGCATTCTAAATTTGAGTTCCTTTAAACTTGCAAATTTTTCTTTTAGAAGTCCAAAGCAGTTCTCGACTCGGACGCGGTACTTAGAGAAATATTTATTGAATTGATTTCTCTCTTCTTGAGAGAACTCAGTGCTATTTTGCCTGAATGGCGTTATTAAAAATGATTTTAATGGATAAGCACTATTTCCGGCAATCCACTGATAGTTGGATAAAAGACGCTCCGGATGTTTGAAAATAGAAGAATTTGCAAATATTTTAGCGTCGTGAACGCTACCTGGGTATCCAATTGTGACTTGCCTAATTCTTAATTTATAGTCACAAATTGCCTGGACTTTCACTGAATATTGGCGCTTACGTGAAAATTAGATTTCATGTTGCTTACCAGGAGTCTCAGCTAATCTTATTTCCGACCTGTCAACATATCCTACACATCCGGGCATCTCTTCCCTAGTTGCTGTCACAATTTGATGTCTTTCTAATTCATTGGGCCAATGCAAAAACTTATGTTTCTGCTTTAGTATAGCTTTAAATATTCGTTGAGTTATATTTTTAATAGTACCTCCATCGCCAACACCAAATAGTGAAGCCACTTTAGGAACCCACGATTGAGAGAAATAGAGATTGCGCCAATCGCGGTACCGCTAATCCGCTCTTTGTGATTTTGACAATGAGTGAATGAGCTGTGTGCGTGACGTCATCTTGGTGCAATTGTTGAATGTGAGCATACGAAAAAAGCCAAATAACAATTTTAATATTTGTGCGTTAATATTTCTGCGTGGTTTTAAACAATTATTGAGACATTAAAAAGCAAAATGAGGTGTGCAGTGGCAAAGTGTAATAGTGAAAACAAAAGGAAAGCGTGCTATATAAGTTTTTTTTTCGTTTCCTACGGACGCAAACCTGGCGAAAAAGTGGAAGCAGTTCTGTCGGGGAGGACATGCATTAAACACCAAATCGAGCTTTGTGCTATGTGTGTGAGCTATGAGCTTCTGGAACTATGTTGGCCTTTCCTTGGTGAATTGTAGTAGGTATATTTCCATGGTGAATGTAGACAGTTGCTGGTTTAGTTTGCTGGCAATGGCATACATATAAAAGCAGTTTCTACAGTAAATAGATACATGAACTTCACTACCTACTTATTTTTGTTAGTACCTGATTCTTTTAGTGCTGGTATGAGGTAATGCACCAGTGGATAAGGTCGCCAGGCGATAATTCAAGCGGCATCTTACCGCGCTATTACGTACCTAATACAAAACAGTGCCCAAATTATTTTACATTTAAAAGTTCAGCTTAAATTATGTTTTACTGACATAGAATATTTGCTTCCAAAAAAAGCCACACTCATGCATCCTCTCGAAAATGGTACAAAAGTCATCAAATAAAAGCTGTGGAGTCAACAGCTGTGGAGTTTATGGTGATTGGCTACCGTCCACAAATATAAATATGCACTCTGCATGGCTTTTTAAAATGGCAAGTCGAAAAATTCACTTTGCTACACACCTTCCTTTTGGTCTACATGAAATTGCAAACACTGTTAATACATCAATTTTTTCATGTGCTAAAAATCGTACTTATCTAAAGGGCTACATGTCCAAAATTATTGCTATGTGTTCCTAATTAATCAATCTTTGTATATTTATTGATTCCTGCAAAATTGGGCCATGTAATATTAAAATTAACACATTTTTCTGCATTGTTTACATAATTTTATATGCGTTTTGGCATTTCTCTCTCGCAATTGCACCAAGATGACGTCACGCAAAAATTACGCTCAAAAATCCTCTCTCATTGGCGCAATCTTGTATTCTATCATTCTTGTTTACGAACCGATAGTCCATCACCAGAGGATCCTAATCTGAAAAGCACTATCTTCAGTTGCAACTCGATTGACAGTTGCGTTGCACTCGAACTGGTGTTAAAAACTTCATCCTGTTTAATTAATTCCACTATATAGCGCAACTCCTCTGGTTTAACACGGATCATTTGGCTAAACCTGCCATCGTCTATATTTTTAAGGACATTCCGTTGCCACTCTAATGATTTGGGTATGCTTAAATGAACACTTCTTCGATTGGCCAAGAGGCAAATCATATTCATCGAGAAGCGTTCTACAGCTTCGACCTCCTCATCGCCTGGAAAGGAAAATTTATGTTTACGAAATGACGAAATGAACGAGAAGTCCACCACTTACTCGAATCCGCCAACAATAAATCTATTGCTTGATTTTGACACAAGAAATTTGTGATTTTAGTTTTTACACTTTCTCCTGGCATTTTTACTTTTTACTTCGATCAGCTGGTTAAGTGCTGAGATATAATAAATAATCGTAACAGGTGTTCACAACCGTCGTGTTTTAACACAACTTTTGTTAGGAAAATATAACTTCACAACACCTTGTGAATTGCCCAAATAATTTTCAGACGAAAAATAAGATTATTATAAATTTTTGAAAAGTGGGCGTAGCCGCGCCTACTTATGGTTACATGTGTATATATTGGTAACCGCTGCATCAATTTCTTCCAAACTTGGCACAGTTTTTGGCCTTCACACAACATACCAAATGACCGAAAATCTTTAAAATCGGACAATAACCACGCCCACATCCCATATAACGGTAATTTAGAGAAATGCAAAATCTTCGATAAATCAGTAAATATTAAAGCTAATTTATTCAAAATTGATGCTTACAACAATTCTTTACCAAGAAATGCGTTTATGATAAAATTTTGGAAAATGGGCGTGGCACCGCCCACTTATGATCACATATATGTATCTCGGTAACCGTTATACCAATTTGTACCAAACTCGGTACGGTTATTGTGCTTGCCACATAAAAGCAAAAAGTTGAAATTTATTGAAATCTGACTGAAATTACGGCCGCTTTTCATAAAACGGTAAATTTGAGAAATGCTTGAAACTTCAATATTTCGAAATTTAAAGACGCTAAGTTACTCAAAATTGATACACCCCGGCTTACCATGTAGCGGTAGCTTTCGGAAAGTTGCAAAACATATATTTAATACTTGCGCCGGGTATTTAATGTTCGGCTCCGCCCGAACTTAGACTTTCTTACTTGTTTTCTAACAAATTATAACAAAAATTTACTTCAGCTTTTGCTAAAAGGTAAATAAATGTCTGTGTACATTTTCTCATAAGACCGATTGGATTGATTTTTCTCATAAGACTGATTGGAGAAAAAAGTAAAAAGCATTACAAAAAATTACATATAAAAAAACCAAATGTAATTAAATTACGATGAATATCTAACATTTAAATGTAACCAATATAATGATTAGCACGACTGATTGGAGAAAATAGTAGAAAATATTACTAAAAATTTTAAATAAAAAAAAACAAATGTAATTCAGTTGAAGATATTGAAGATGTAATTTTAAATGCTGTAAATATGATAATTTTATATATGTTAACAAAATTCTCTCATTCTTCATTTATTTCATTTTTAATATCTATATGACATGTTTATTATACCAGAAAAAAGATAATTGTCTATTGTGTAGATCAGTGAAATCTGCTTTATATAATTAATTTAATTTTTATACAAAAAACGCATTTCAGCACTACCAGACTACTTTTCCTACTACCTTTTCACAGAAGGGGATAAAATGGTTACCCGCATTCTCTTTCCTTCTCAAATGCAACCTTACAAGGCAGTCGATTGACACAAATGTCAATATTTATCCAACCTTGTATTATTTAATCATGAATCAGAACCAGGAACTGTGCTCACAATTCTACCAAGTAACCAATGGTGTGGGGGCAAGTTCTCCTCGTGAATGATTACCATTTGTCCCACTTCTATATTGGCTTCTAGTTTTAACCACTTTGAACGTTGTTGTAGACTGCGAATATAGTCACGCGACCAGAGTTCTCAAAAGCGTTGTTTTAAGTACGATACTTGCTGTCACTGTGTTAGGGTGGACGTGGTGTTGACAACGCCGCTCTTATCTGGGATCGATAGCAAGGATGTGCCAATCAACAGATTTCCTGGTGTCAATGCTTCACCATAATTAGGATCGGTAGATAGTGGAGTTAACAGTCGAGAATTCAGAATAGCTTCCACTTCTACGATGACGGTCTGCAACTCTTCGTAGGTTAGGTGAGCCTTGGTAATATTTTTTATGAGAATCGTTTTCATCGATTTCACGGCTGCCTCCCATATACCACCGAAATGTTGGGCGCGTGGTGGAATGAAACTAAATTCGAAACCAGTGATGTTGCTGTAGCTGGAGATGTCATCGACTGCTGCTTTGTTGAAAAAGTGATGCTGCAGCTCCTTCAGTTTGGCCTGAGCTCCAATGAAATTGGTGGCGTTATCACAGTAAATGCGTTGAGGAATGCCACGCCGACCTATAAAACGTTTCAAGCAAAGTAAAGAATTATTTGTAGCTAAATCGGATACCAGCTCAGCATGTACTGCTTTCGATGCAAAGCAGATAAAAATTGCTATATAAGTTTTGTAGGGTGATTTTCCTCGAAGGCGATAAGTTGTAGCGAAAGGACCGCAAAAATCCACTCCGCTAATAAGAAAAGGCCTTCGAATTTGTAAACCATCGGCAGGAAGATCCGCCATTATTTGGTTCATAAGCCTTGGCTTATAATGGAAGCAATGGATACAGTTTCGCACAGTCTTCCTTGCGATTTCTCTTGCGTGTATTACCCACACCTTTTCGCGCATTAAACTTAGCAAAACCTTTAGGACGGCGTGCGATTTCACCTGCTTCTGTTTTCGAATGCACTCAATCTCTTCTGCGAACTGGATTTGTTGAATTTGTGAAATAAGTCTCCAGAAGGTCTGCTCCAATTCTGTATGTGGCACATGTAGTATCATTGAAGCGCTGAGGTATGTATTAACAGGGACCTTGTTGAAAACGCGAAGGACGTATGATGCTGTGCGAAGCAGCCGATAATGCCATGAGCTACGGTTGATAATTGAACTGATGATGGCTCCATCGGTGCTACTATTACTACACTTGAAAGACACAGCCTTGCGACGTTCCAGATCTTGATGGGTGACGATAGCTGCCTTTTTAGTCACAGGCCCTTCTGCAGACTGTTTATACAAAAATGTGGTTCCTATAAACCAAATTGTATCCAAAAGTTTGACGGCGCTCGACCCACGCGAAACTATGGCAGCTGGATTCTCCTTAGTCGGAACGTGTTTCCAAATTATTCCTTCAGAATTTTCCTGTAGCTCTGATACTCTATTTGCCGCAAAACAATTTAGTGTTGACGAGTGAGTTTGAATCCGTTGAAGAACTATCTCTGAATCTGTCCAAAAGCAAACTTGAGAAGAGTATTTAATTAATTTGTGTTTAATTTTTCGCCAAGTTCGACTTAGCAAAAGCGCTGTACCAAATCTCATGGGGCTTAATAAACCAAGATGTCAAACATTTTTATTATGACAGTACACTTTACTTTGTGATAGTCTGCGTATCTGGCAAGTCATAGCGGAAGCAAAATGTGTCCTCTTCATTTGTTTTAATAGCCATTTAATTACACAAAGCGTCAGACAACTGTGAGGAGTTTGAGTGCCACTTACTTAGCGACAGACCTGCCGACTTAAGAACTTCTATGATTTCGAACTTGAGGGAATTTAAATCTTCTATGCTCTCCGCACCAGTCAGTAAATCGTCAACGTAAAAGTTCTCTCGAATGGCTGATGCAGCGTCTGGATGGGCATCCCCATCGAGGTCTGCGATGTGACACAAGCTGCGAATCGCAGGAAAGGGCGCAGCGGCCAAGCCGTACGTAACAGTATTGAGTTGAAAGAGCTGTAATGGTTCATGAGTCTCATATCTCCAAAGGATGAGCTGATATCGCCGATATTGTTCGACGACTAAAAACTGTCGATACATTTTAGAAACATCAGCAGTTAATACGTACCGATGTAACCGAAATGATAAAAAGGTGGTTATTAACTCCGGTTGAATGGTGGCTCCAACCATGAGTATATTGTTCCACGAGTAGTTCGATGTAGTCCGCGCGGAAGCGTCGAAAACTACACGAAGCTTGGTGGTAGTACTTTGGGGTCTGAGAACGCAGTGATGTGGAACGACGTAATGCGAATTTCCGAAATCGAAATCAGTAATTGGAGATATGTGGCCAAGTGCCACGTATTCCTTTATGAAATCAGAGTACATACTCGTTAAAGTTTTGTCGCGTAACAAGCGCCGTTCAAGCGAGAAAAATCTCTCTTTTGCGCTGTGGAAAGAGGTTCCTAATATTTCTGGCGAAAGTTAATATGACAACCTAACCTTTATGCTGCAATTTCTTTGAACTTTGAAGGTTTCAATAAAGTGTTGCTCGCATCGACGGTATTCATCCGACAATGCAGATGACGCTCGTGTAAAATCTTCGACCTCCCAGAATCGCTGAAGAAACGAGCCGATGTCAAGTGGTTTTGAGCTTAATGTTACATTGCATACCAAAGGATGAGGCCTTGAAGCCCTTTCAAATTTGCCTCCGACTATCCAACCTAACTTACTGTTGTGAAGAATTGGCAAACTTTCTCCAAGAGAGATTGTACCGTCTTGAAGACACTCAAAAAGGATTTCTGTATTGAGTAATAAATGAACGCGTTGTGGCGTATAAATCAATGGGTCTGCAAGCTGGATTCCGGGGGGAATGTTCCAATAAGCTCATATGTCAATGAGCTCATATGGTTGTACGTTTTGTTATGGCGAATTGGAATGACCAAGTAAAATCTCTAATACGAGATTTGATTGTCGCGTTTACTGCAAATTTTATATTAGTTTGAATGTCTGAAATACCTGACACTTCCAGAGTTGATGATATTCTCTTCAGTTGCAAACGTTTAGCAGTTTCTTCCGTTATGAAATTTAACTCTGAACATGAATCCAACAGGGCTGGCTGAATTCGACCAAGTTTAACTTAGATGTAGATTAAGGCTGTTGGTATTATAGCTGATTTGTGCGAGCGTGCAACCAATGAAACTGGCGGGTTATTTCGAGAACGATCTGACAAACCGGTTGAGATGGACGCTGGTGGCAATTGAATTGTTATTGCTGGTCGTGTTGATTGCATCGAATCCGTGACTGTTCCTGTAACGGGGTGAAAATGTAAATGAGTGTGATGTGACTGTTGACATACACTTGGACACCATGGGCCCCGTTCGCAAACAGTTAATACAAGCTCCGGATTTCTTCACGAAATCGAAGCGTTGCGTGGCTGATAAAGCTAGAAACGATGGGCAATTGTTGATGCCATGTTCTACGTTTTTGCAATGCAAACAACTAGACTTAGCACTGACGAAAGAATTAACAGTTCGCTTACCATTGAGTTTTCCATCCCGAGGGGATGCCTTTAAATTGTCTTTTTTGGAACAGGTCTCTATATATTGGCAATGACGACTCAACCATTTGTAGCAATCGTCCCACGATGGCAGAGCTTCAAATCCTTGCTTTTGGTTATAGGCCGCTTTCGAATCCGAAACTAATTTAGATAAAACAGTATAAATGAGCATTAGATTCACGATGTCTTTTTCTGATCCACGTGAAAGAAGAGACCCTCGAAGTGCTGCAACGGTATCGATGATGTTCCGCAATGTTGAGTGGCAAGCAGTGCTGTTTGATACTGTACCAAGCAGATATAATTTTCAAGATTTGATGCACAAGCTACACTGCCTCCACTGCTTCCTCTAACGATGCTGATGATCCCAGGCTTGTGTGCAGAATGCCAAGTGCGATGAACAAACTCCGAACGAACGTCCAAAGAAATGGATTAAGATTTCCTTTGGCTTTTCTTAGACAGGACAAGTACTAATCGGGACAAGTCCTGTCACGGTCGCCACTTTGTTCTAGCCAAAAAAAAAACACCTTCGTTGCTGACAGTCCGTTTTCTTTATTTCAAGTGAAGTTTTTCATCATCAGTTATGCGCTTAAGATTTATTTATGCTTAAGGAATGATCTCGTAATATTTTCCTGGTATGACTTTGGGTGAAAAAGGTAATAACAAATTCATAATTATTTAAGTAGTTGAGTATATGCATATACAACAGAGGAATGCACCGTAAAATTTTCGTATGTTTGCTTACATGCTTGCCTAACAGGTATTCATGTATACATATGTGTCTATCTATACACTCAGAAAAAGGTTTAGTTATAACAACCAAGATTTGGTTATAGCAACCAAGTGGCTTAGTTGGATATGGCGAAATAAATATCTAGTTCACGGAAGTCTGCGATTTACTTGAGACTTCTAGTTGGGACAAATGTATATTTGTTAATAATTACAAAACGACTACCTTGAGTGGACAATACTGTTAGTTGAATAAAATCATTGTTGAGCAAATATAAACAATGCTTTGGTTGATACAAGTTAGAATTACCTAATAAAAAAGTTTCGGTTTGACACAAATAAAAATTTACTCGATGATTGTTGTGTTTACTTACTTCTTTTATTTGCATATATTAAGCATAAAAAATTCATACATAAATATTAACATAAAATAATAGTGTAAATAATACATATGTATACGGTGGTATGAATTTCCTAAAAAGAAACGATGAAACAGGAACAGTCGTGCGAAAACCCAGGTCAGTATCTGCTGGTTTAAGTATACTGCTTTGCTTTTTCCTTGGCTAAACAGATACTTTCAAATTATAATTCACATGAATTATATATTCACTGAGAAACCCCGGTTGGCATCAAACTTTATATTTTTAAAATAATTATGCACACACCGAAACAACTCGCGGCGATGGCAAAACTGAAACTGAGACAAACAAGCCTGGGCATGTCACAGCACACAATTTTCTTTCTCTACCTAGCGTAGTGATCGACATGCCATAGCTTACTGAGCGATCTGTGACCACACGCGTGTTTCACCCATATACGAACAGCGGTAGCGGAGCAATGATCTCCACGCACACAGTCTCATTCATTAGGGCTATTCGCGATCCGGTGCAAATGGCCTAGCATCATTGCATTGAAAATTTGTATTGCAAATCATTTGCAATACACAAACAAAATACACGCATTTGCATTTGTCATGGCTTGACAAATTTGCAATACCGAAAATCCATAGCATAAAAATGCTATGCATTGCAACTCTGGTTGACATTTCTATCAGCTGATTAAAAAAGTTTTACCATGACAGTTTAATAAAGGTCGCTCACAATCCATGGCATATTTCTGCAATTGCATAAATTTGTCAGCTCTTATGCACCGAATCGCGATTCAATAAGCGGAACTGTGTGCATTGCTCAGCTGGCGTTCTTCGTATGTGAAACACACATGTGCTCAGAGAGCGCTCAGCATTATTTAGGGGTGGCTCACAAGCATGAATATGTTCCGTTCTCTAACCAAATCGTGGTTGCCTCAACTAAGATTTGGTAACTATGACTAAACCATGTGTTGAAAGAAAGCTTATTTGTATTAGCAGAGCTTAATGACATCCTTTTATGAACCATACGTTAAGTTGAATGGAATTTGTAGAAATATGCTTCAAAAAAACATTTATTAGTATTTACCAAACCCTTCAACTAAATTAACGATTTGGTACAACCTAGATGAATATTAGAAGCTTTGATATATTTAGTTATAATTACCAACCCATGGTAATAGTTCCCAATCCTTGGTAACAGTTCCCAACTATTGTCAAAATTCGGGAACTAAATATCCTTAGTTGTCGAAACTAATCCTTTTTCTCAGTGTATGCCTGCGTACGTACATAGGTAAAGCAAATAAATACTGAATGCTTAAATATGTAAGTGACAAAGCGTAAGTATATAATTAACAAAAGCATGAGTATGTAATTAGTAAAAGCGTAAATATGTAAGCACAGAAGTTTGAATTTTAATCAAGGATGCATCGTAACGTTAATTTTAACGTTTACCGAAAAAACATCGTTTCTGTTGAAACGATTCAGTTTCTTATCGTTTAGGTAATTATCAAAATAATTTCATTTTCGTTTTTAAAGTAAACGAAATCGGATCGTTAACGTTGAAACGTTAAACGTTTTATTATTAGTGAGCTGGCAATGCCCTAATCAACGATCAGCTGTTTGTGTGCAAGCACAAAATAAATAGGAGTGTACTCGTACACCCAACTATCTAAAGTTTTAGAAAACTTTTACTGGTTTTGCGTTCTCGTACCCAAAAAACTTGCAAAGTAGAGGAAATTGAGAGAGCAAAATGTGGAAGAGAGCTGCAAATTTCTGCTGGAAAAATTTTTCCCAGCTAAAACTTGCAAGTAAGAAAATCAGCTGATCCTAAATAAACAAAAGAAAATATGGCCTTTTTGAGTTATTTATTGCAAATTTTATTATTAATGCTAGTATACAACGAAAAAGTGAGTAAATTTAATAAGCACAACGTTTTTTGAGTTTATGTTTCGTTAATTTGCCATTAATTTCCAGTTTGTTTACTTTAGTGGGTGCTGACTATGGTTGCCGTATGACATTTTTCGTTTGTACCATAATTTTCCTTTAAATATACCAAAATAGATTTAAATGCAGCATGCTGAAATGTTTTTTTGCTGAAGTTTTCGGTTTTGGTAGGTTGATTGTGGAAATGGAAATTTTATAATTTTAAAGCTACATCTGTAGCTATATCTTTTATTTTTTTTGGGTCAATGATGGGTGTTTGGAGGAGATACTCTTGTTTTTGAATGCGTCACCATGTGATACCACAAATAAATATGAGAAAAATAACTTATTCATTCCGATATAATTAATTTGTATTTTAAAAAGGTTTTTCTTATCCAAAACTATTCAATTGTATAAAATGCCAAATCGGGGGAAAATGTACCAAGCAGAAAATAAATTGTTAAATTAATCACCAGTGGCAACTGTGCAAGTGATCAGCTGTTTCAAAAGTTGCAAGTTTTTGCAAATTTTGCGTTCTCGTACTTCCGTTGATATTTCGTCTCTTTGAGAGCGAATGCTGCTAAATTCTCAGAACTTTTGTTGCTGGAGAATTTTGTCCTCTCAATACGAGTACACACCTAATGTAAACATTTGGTTTTTCGAATGCGTGAATTTGGGTATATTTTGCAGTAAATCTCAATTGTTTTGTAATTTAATTATCTATTTAAACTATTTGTTTGCAGAATATATTTCCCGAGGCAGAACGGAGAGTTATCAGCACTTTCCGTGCTCACGTGCAACCTCACTAATTGTGGAATTGTTGGTCAGATGCAGCGATACTATTCTGCATGTGAATTGTGAAATATAAAGCAATTTTCTGATTTCTTCGTTGAACATATCGCTGTAATATATAAATTATGGATTATTATTATGCATTTTTTAAATAATATCGCTGAGCAACAATGTACATATGCATGTGTATGTACATACATATGTACAAGTACATGGTTTGTGAAAGAGTGCTGTGAATGAAATGAATGAAAGCCAGCCCCAAGGCTTGTGCCGCCGATTAAATGAAACAAAAACCAAAGCAAGCAATTGAGAAAGTGGTAATATTTATGATGAGAATGACCGAAAACCCAAATATGTTAAAATATTTAAATTTCTTTTGTTTAAAGATTAGGCCAGCTTAGCTTTATATTGGCTTAACTTTTCAAATGGGCGATTCTATGCTTTGACGCGACACTTTCGGCAGGAGCACGTCATATCGCACATTTGTTACAAGAGTGTCATGATCCAAAAATGAAAAACTCGCATTGTAAAATGAATACATATTTTGTTCTAGTGAGGTACTAGTAATCGATACAGCTATGAAATTTTTACATAAAAGAACAGGTAGCGATAATTTCTGCACACTTAACTCGATTTTATATTATTTCGAATTGCCACAAATTGCAGCAAATGTGCGATATGTATGCATAACGTAAATAATTTTAATTTCGTATTAGAATTTCTATTTGGACCGTGTTTTTATTTACATTTTTACTAACTATGCATGTAATACATATGTATGTAAATTATGCTTTTGAAATTCATTTGTTTTATGCATATTCATCCAAAGAAGTTAAATAAATGATATTCAAACTTAAATCGCAGTCTAATACCGATACAACAACGGTATGAATTACATTTTTACTTATTTACTTATTTATTTAACCTTAAAAGTAAAATAATTTCTGTTAATTTGTCACTTAGATGTGACCTGTAGTCATTCACTATATATCTCAGTGTCAAAAATGCACGCTCTACACTCACTTGCGTTGACGGCGTTGCGTGAATAATTTGAGAAAGCTGGTAGAAAATTGTGTGTGAAAACTTTTTTCTTTCCCAGAAGTCGGCAAAATTGGTTTTATTGTCGGTGGATTCGTTGAATGTTTCAATAGCCAAATAAGCTTCTGAAGTGCATGAGGCGCTGTATGTAGGTGAACTTATTTGATTTAATAATTTACCAAGTAAATCGGTACTTGTATCTTCGATACTACTCTCGCTTTCTGTTATAGAAATGCTGTGGGGTTGTGCAGACTGCAAAAAATATGAAAAAATAATATAGCTTTGGTGATATTGAAAATAACGATAATCATAAAAAGTACCTGTCAAAAATCGCACTAGCTTTTAAATGTAGCATTTTCAAATGCTCAACGGCTATTACTCTAATATGCGCAAATTCAGGACTTAGCAATAAACGATGCAATTTGGGGTCTAAATAAATGGCTGCAGCTACTGTTGCATTACTTATTAGCATTTTCTTCCTTTTAGTAATCGAATGGAATAAAAGTCTTGAAATTTCAGATGCATTGGAACATTTTTTTACCGCCAAGCACATTTCCAAAAACATTGCTATGAAGTCGCCAAAAAGCAAGTTTTGGTTTTGTAACTTTTCTGTAGTTGCCTTTATAGGAGCAAAACTAATCGAAAAATCGTTTACAAAACTCTAGTCTACATCTGAGTTTTCAAAATTATGATCAAAGAAATTTCGAACAGCTTTTAAGCGCTTCACCAAATCATATGAATAGCTCCAACGGGTGGGGCAGTCAGCTATCGGTGGTAACAAATTATTATTGACCAGAAGTCGATGTACTGCTGGTGTGCGAAACCTTTTTGCAGTTAATCGAAAATTTTCAAACTTCAATTTTACATTTTCGTTTTTTATTACATCGTGTACACTCAATTGTATCGTGTGAGCGGCACATCTTATAACAGCAAGAGAATCTGAAATTAAAATGATAACACAGTGCTACAAAGAAGAATTGAGTAGAAATACCTGGGAAGTGATGTAAATTTTCTTGTATATCTTGTCGAGTAAGGTACTAAAAACTGGGTTTTGACCATAAGTCAAGATTTTTGGGGGTGTCTTGCAAATTTCATATTTCGATTCTTGTTTTATTCGACAAGACCTACAACAAATAAATAATATAAACAAAACTTTTTAATATACAACGCTTTTATAAATGGACTAAAAAGTAGAAAATAATATTTCTCAGTCCCATAGAATTTGTTTTGATAACTTTTGATTTTGAAATTTTAGCAAAAGTCATTATAAACAATCTATGAAATTGAAAATGAAAAACGTGGAGCGCATGCAATACAAAGCATTCGATTTAATTGACAATAGTCAAACTACATAACGTAGACCTAAAATTTCTACAGCGAAAGTAGAACTTTGAAATCGATTTTAAGCGGTCGTTATTCATATACCCACATACATACATACATATATTACTTTTCATATCAATTCAAGTGTATTACATGCGCCCCACGCTTTTCATTTTCAATTTCATAGATTGTTTATAATGACTTGCTAAAATTTCAAAATCAAAAGTTATCAAAACAAATTCTATGGGACTGAGAAATATTATTTTCTACTTTTTAGTCCAGTTATAAAAGCGTTGTATATTAAAAAGTTTTTTTTATATTATTTATTTTCTACTTTTTAGTCCTGTCTGAATAAAATTTTGCAATAGATATTAAAATAATTCAACGATATTAATAGAAAGGTGCACACACATGCATTTACATATGTATGTACATACAAACGAGCACCAATTAATTGTATTTAAAGAAATGGCGTGTCGTCTATTTCCGCTGTAGCAAACGTAGTACATAGGGCGACATCTAGATGTCATCTACCTCGCCCTATTCACTACAGATGTCGCCCTATGCACTATGCTTTTTTATAGGAACTTTTCAAAGCAAAGCTTTATGGTGTCGGACACACAACATTGAAAGTTTCTGGATCCACAACATTGAAAGTTTCTGGACACACAACATTGCAAGTTGATAAAAGCGTTGTAAAAATAACATCACTTCCCATGTATATTGGAGTGCCGCACAGTATAACGTATTGGGCATAATAAAAAAATGAATTTTAAAGTTATTTTATTTGCCATGGTTTTACCTCATAGTATTTTTATCATGGTATTGAGAGGTAATATATAAATTTAAAAATCACCGCAATTTAAAATTTTTAGAGTTTTGATAGTTTTTAATTTCTTGAAGCTCCCCTTTTTAATAACTTGAGTGGAATTTCAAAATTGATGAATACTAGATTTCTAGAAATTTTTTATTTTTAAAAAATTTTGAGAATTGTAGGAATTCTAACAAATTTTTTCTAAGTAAAAGTGTCGAATATACAAAATTGATCAAACGAAATTAAAAGTTTTCGAATGCTGGAAACCTATTCATATTTCGTCGATTTTGAATATTTAAAAAATTTTCGTTATTCTTGAAGATTCAAAAAATTTTTGGACGTTGATGTTTTCAAAAAATTTAAAATTCTCAAACTTTGTTATATCAATGCAAAATTTTGGAAAAGTTCAGAGAAGTGGAACAATTTTGGAATTTTTAAAAATGTTAATATCTTTTAGAATTCTAAGAATTTTCTATTTTTTACACACGAGTACATGAACATAATAACTTTTCGACAATTTGTGATGTTTCACATTTTTACATTTTAGGATGGATTTTAAGATAAATAAAATTCTCAAAATTTGGGAAAATATAAAAATTTCTAAAATCTCAATAATTTTGTACATTTGAAAATATTCTCGTTTTACCAAAATTTCTAGAATCTCCCGGATTTCGATAGTTTTTGAAATTTTGGAAATTATCCTAAAAATAAAAAATTTCAAGAAATTTAATAATATTAAAAAACTCAAAATTTTGGAATTCTCGTTTTTTTTTGAACTTGTGAAAATATTCAAACTTACTGTGACTTTCAACTGTGTAAAATAATACAAATTCGAAAATATAACTAAAAAACTAAAAATTTAAAATTAAATACATAAATTCAAAATTTGGAAAATTCAGTGAATTCGAAAAACTGATAGCCCTACTTAAATAACACAATACTTCGAGCTTAGCACACAGCTATAATTTCAAACTCAAGTGAAATTTGACACATTTTTTCCATGAATTAAAATTTTCAAAAGCATCCATTCATTAGGTTTGTTCCCTAAGCTTCTCAAAGTCACTTCGAGTTACATATTCTTTGATATACGATCACAGTTTGAACATTGCTCGAGTTTTTCTACAAGTAGCTTGTGGGACAAACCTGTTATATATTATTGTAATGATATTTCACGATATTCAGTTCAATATTATGAAAATACATATTACACAGTCTTGGGGGGGGGAGGAGCCACTGATAGTGCCGCACTAAATTATTGGCACAAGGAATTTTTCACAATGCATGCAACATTTTTTAATTAAAATTTTCGGCGAATTTTTTATAAAAATATTGTTGATACTACAACAAAAAACAAAAAAAAATCTCTTTGCTTCGGGCAAAACTCAGGAGAATTCAATAAATTTGCCTTCATGTTGGCAATTTAAGATCTGCTTCATTCTTCTTCAATCTGGCAGTACTCTACATAGCACAACTTTGTTATCGACTACTCGATCAGCCGTTTATTTAGTGTGCTGATTTTGCAATCTTTGTTTTTTATTACAGTTAATTTTCATATGCGTAACTTTAAAAATAATTGATGCGGAGAGCAAAGAACTTCAGCAAAGAAAATCGATTTTGGACGAATTCATGCAAAATCTACACATCTCCCTATATCGGTTAGTAAAATTGCCGAAAATTGGAAAGTCGACGGTACAAAATGTATTGTCAAATATCAAGAAAAATGGCAGCATTGAGAGAAAGACGGAATCTGGCTGAAAATCAGGCAATATAAATAAAATAGTGTAGAAGGATGTTCTAAGGACTTTGAAAAGGAATCCCAATCTCTCTGAACATATTGTTGCACTTGGAGTGTTATTCTGAGAACCTGTATTGTTTTGGCCTAATTTGGCAACAAGCCATTGTGCAAAAAAAGCGAAAGAGTTTTATACAC